CCGGACCCAATTGACCAATGAGAGCGGGGCAAATGGGCGGTCCCTCGCGTGACATCACTGCCAGGCAAATGGGAGGCTTCTCCGGCCCTGCTGCAAAGGTCCGCCATTTCTCCGGCGCGACCCTGGCAGATTTGCCAGGCTCGCGCCGGACAAATTTGTCCGGCGCGAGCCTGGCAAATCTGGCGGAGTCGCGCCGGAGAAAATGGGAGGGGTCCGGAGCAGAAATGGGAGGCCTCCGGAGCAGAAATGGGAGGTATCCGGAGCAGAAAATGGGAGGTATCCGGAGCAGAAAATGGGAGGTATCCGGAGCAGAAGATGGGAGGTATCCGGAGCAGAAATGGGAGGTCTCCGCCGGAGAAATGGGAGGGCTCCGCCGGACAAATGGGTGACCCACCGCTGGGGAAACGCCGCGACCCTGCCATTTCCCCAGCGGAGGGGTCCGATCCATTGTCTGAGTAAGGCATCATAATTAGCAGGTGTTACAGTCATTCTCACTAATTAAGGGAAGGAGATTTTGATAGTTCGGATATGGGAAAAAACTCACAAAAGATGACAAGAAATCTTCCTGGACGATACTTCAATGAAGAAACCACACTAAATGCCATGGACAAGCGTAGTACGCACTTCTCAGCTCGAATTCCAGTTCTTCACTCTTTTTTTCTAATGGCGAGATGAGTCTCTTGAGTCCGTAACTGCACAAAAAATACTTCTGCTAGACAAACATGCTATCCACTTATCACAAAAAAAAAAGAATGGGCAGGTTTGGAAAACCACTTTTTGTAATAGGTAAGATGGTCTCAAGGTTACGGTATTGCAATCAGGACTCTCCCTGTTCCATCTTGCCAATTGCCAGTTCATAGTCGGCTCTTTAGAACAGCGTAATTGTCACCATTCACCTTGGGAATCCCAAACCTTTTATGGGCACTGCCGAATTATGGGAATCAAGAGGCTACCCATGGTAATAGCAAGATAGTATAGCACCCTATTCATCGGCGAACACCTTTTCGGTAAATGAGCTCAGCTGTGGGTGTGAAAAATTGCGACAATTGGCTGAAGAAGGAGGGAACAGATGTGCGATTAGTTGACTCCTTTAGCACTGTTTTGTTCAGTTAGACCAGAGAAAAACCTTAATGTCGGGGACTTGTCATATCCAATCTCGCGATTTCAAAAAAAGCATGGTCCGCTGAACGACTGCTCCAGCAAATACAGACGTTATTTCATCTATTCTCCGCTAAGCATCCATCATTTCTTGCAATGCTTTATTGCTTGTCGAGTAAACGTTGAGTGAAACTTGTTCTCTTGGGACAGCACAATGAGGTTTTCTTTGATCGGATTGTTGGCCGAAGCTGAGATATGTGGGGAGGAAATGAGTAGCAGAATCGCATAATGTGCCCTCTTGTAGCCAGAGGATATGCTCCTTTTCTCTCTCATCTATGTATGTTCACAAACCTACTCTGTCTTCGGAGTTTGTTAAGAAAACAATCAGTGGAGGCTGTTCATGACCAAGAACTATTTTCAATTGTACCAACGTTTTATTCTTTCTTCTTCTAGGTATATGAATCAATTGAAAAATTGAACCTCTTACTTCTTCTGAAGCGAGTGGTCTAAACAGTAGGTATAGCTAAAAAAAAAGTAAGTAAAAAGAGGTAAGCTGTGATACCAATACAGTCAAGCTAATAGAGCGCCGATCTTGTCTGTATCAGCCCCTCCCCCTTCCCCCCCCCCCCTCTCCCCATAATTGCAATTTTCCCATTCAATCAACATTTAAGCATGAACGCACGAGAAGGTCGGGTATCAGAAAATGCAGAGTGCGAAAGTGATCGTAAACTCACGCGCTTGCGTCTACTGATGACCTCGCGCTCCCGGACTTGATTCGTTGAGAGTTTTATCATTGCGAGCCTTTAATTAACTTTTATTGCTATATAAAGTCACTATCGTGGCAGTCATCTGCAGGGATAGCTTGCACACAATCCCTGGACTTCCTACAGTTGGAGAGAAACAGGCCACATGCAACTAAGCAACGATGTACCACCGCTTAGCAACTAAACTACCGTAACTCATAGATATTGTGCAGTGAACGAAGCGGAAGTTCAATATTTTTGTGGAAGTTTGCAAAGAGGAGGAGCGTTTATTATTCTCAAAGATCGTGTTTGCCTGCTAATAAAGTAATTCATTCAAGACGATAGGAATTTTATTTCTGAATAAGAAGTGTTTGCTTTTTGAAAGAAAAAATTTCTACCTTCACTTGAGAAAATTTTTATCTTTATTTTACATTCTTTTGAAATTTGATAGCATCACCATTAATTCACCGGGTGACAAGAGAAATGCGCTCCAATGCTCTAAAACATTTTAATATTAGGTTGAACCGAAAGTTCTGTCGCACCATTTCAAAAAATCATAACTTCTTTCACTCACGGTGATTTTGCACAATTCAAATTTTATCAGAAAGAGTAAAGCATGTAGTTTCCAAAAGTTCCTTGGGAGCTTTCCAGTGTGCCCCGGTTGCAGAGATAAAAATGAAAGAACGAGATCATCCGAAATTCGGAATTTTTAAGCAAGAATTCTAGAAATTCAGAAACAGTGCGATAAAATCCAGAAAAGCCATTATCCTAATTTTTCTTACATTTGATTACTATCTGAGTCAAGTTTATGCTAATCGAGGTCTTTTTTCAGAAGTTATGAATTTTTGAAAAAAAATGCTAAAAAATACATTTCTTAAGAATTCTTAGGAAATTGATTTTTCAGCATTATTTTTCAAAAAATCATAACTTTTGAAAGAAGGACTCGATCAGCACAAACTTGACTCAGATAGTAATCAAATGTAAGAAAAATTAGGATAATGGCTTTTCTGGATTTTATCGCACTGTTTCTGAATTTCTAGAATTTTTGCTTAAAAATTCCGAATTTCGGATGATCTCGTTCTTTCATTTTTATCTCTGCAACCTGAGCATATTGGAAAATCACCAGAGAGCTTTTGGAAACTACATGCTTTACTCTTTCTGACAAAATTTGAAATGTGCAAAATCACCGTGAGTGAAAGAAGTTATGATTTTTTGAAAATGGTGCGACAGAACTTTTGGTTCAACCTAATATCTTTGCAAAAGGATGAGAAGCGTTGGAATGTCCCTAGACTATAGCCTTACATTCAGATCATAATTATAAAGAGAGTTACTAGGCTATTTGTCAATTTTAAAAACTGCATATAGACTCACTACGTCCTCGACATCGCTTGTAAATCATACGACATTGTTACGAGCAAATTCTGATGATATGTGTGCTTTGAAAACGCTAGAAACGAAGCTCTAGCATGAGTGCAATTGCCCTTACTGCGCTGTTTTGCAGAGTATATATCTATGTGTTGAAAAACTTGTAAATCATAGGGAGAACGTCTGACTATCGAAAAACAGCAGCTGATTAAAAAAAAGATAATTCTTGACTGCATGCTTGGTTAGTTACCTAACTCTATGGAATCGCGCATTTATTTCGGGGATGTAGCAGCTGATGTGTGAATGCATCGTATATGTGCAGAAAATAATGCAATTTCCAAAATTACAGTGAAAACTGCAAAGGCATAGGTTTGGTGAAAAGCTTCTTATACAGTTCTTGTTAACTATTTGCTGGGTTTGGGGGTATAGGTTGAAATCAGACGAGATTGGCACTCTATTGCTTGACACTCTGTCTCCTGTTTAGACCATTGCTTCAGAGAGAGTAAGAGTTCTAATTATCCAACTGATTTTATGCCCACAAAGAAGGAAAAAGAATAACATGTAGGTATAATTGAAAATAATTATTAGTTCTGAACAGATTGTTCCTGTAACTCCTCTGATTGTTTGTTAACAAATTCCGGAGATAGAGCAGATTTCTGAACTTACATAAATGAGAGAGGATAGGAGCTATATTTCCTGGTCACTTGAGGGCATGTTATGCGATTCTAGTCCTCGTTTTCCTCCCCAAATATCTCGGCTTCGGCCCTCAATCCGATCAAAGAAAATCTCGTTGTGTGGTCCCAAGAACAAGTTTCACTCAACGTTTACTCGACAAGCAATAAAGCATTGCAAGAAATGATGGATGCTGCACTAGCGGAGAATGAATGAAATGACGTCTCATTTGCTGGAGCAAGCATTATGAGCGAATGACTGACGGCATAACTCAAATCTGGAAGTTGTTCAGCGGATCATGCTTTTCTTCAAATCACGAGATTCACAAATTGGCAGAAAGTGTTTGGATATGACAGTTCCCCAACATCAACGTTCCTTTCTCGTCTAGCTAGTTGAGAATAAAACACTGAAAAACGAGCGGCATCTTCTCAGACGTCCCTCGGAGCTTCGCCAATCTTTGAATTCGTAATGTAACTAATGAGATACTCAACCGTTCGTTTGTTATGACGCCGGTGCCGAAAACGTGAAGTGGATTACCCACGACACATCCACTGATCCCGCTATGGGGATGAAGGGAACGCAAAGGGTGCTACCGTAATGCGCAGGATACGACTGGATTTGGAGTAGCTCAAACCAGCTCAGCTGTACTAATAGCAGTTAGTTTCAAGATTCCAGAGCGGCAACAAACGATGTGGAGTAATAGGCGTACATAGAGAAAAGAGGACAGCCTTGTGAAAAGTTAGCAGGAAAGTATGTAACCATTGAAGATTTGAGTATATCAAAGTTTCTTTACGTGCATGGGTTGATACCAAATTGACCACTTTGATCGATTTATTTACATTATATTATCAACGAATTACTTGACATACGCACAATAAACTATCACAGAAAATACCCGATAATCGACGACATCACAGAATACCCAAAAATCGACAGATTGATCAGACTGTGTGATGTGAAGATGTCAAAAACCTCAGAGTACCACAAAAACCCGTATTACAGTATGTGCCGTCAATAGAGATTTTTTCAAACTGAGCAGAAGTAGTACCCGTAGAGCTTTCGTGAAAGCATTTCAGACTAGAATCATTCACCACGAAAAAAAGCTAAGGAAGTGGTTGATTGCTACCATGCAAACGATCGATTGATTTGTCGAAAGAATTTTTGATTCTCGCTTTCATAGAATCGCTTCAGCATTCGGAAGACTTCAGGTTGAATCGCTGGATGTTTCCTGCCTTTCGTTTTGCCCAAGCAGTGCAGACTACCATCGGGTCGGCGAACGCAAGGGAATTTCTTGATTGGATCGACAGCAAAATTTTCTGGTTTCGCGACTGAAAAGTACACTTCCTTAGTTGTCACGCTTGTTGATAAAGTTTGGAAAGCTTACCTGGATCAAGTCCAAGGAACCGCTCAGTACTGCTGACCTCCAGAGCAGGTTGTGCGACTAGTCGCTCTCCATCGACGATGTGGATTTGGTCCATAGGGAAGTTGTCCAACCATCTTTTCATGTGCTTGTGATACACTCCTATCCGTATTGCACCCCATCCAACGTTAACGCCACCGACTTTCAAGGAGCAATTTGTTTTCAGCCATGGTGCACAATTGCCAATGGCCATCTCCTCAAAAGATGGCATCATTGCTGGCGCTCTTCGCTTCGATGAAGCTTGCGTATAATCTGAAAAAAGCTCTTAGCCAAAATCGAAGATGTTTGAGACGTGATTTTACCTGATATTGCTCTCATAACGGGATCTCGAACCACTATGACGATTTTCATTGCAGGATTGAGGGCACGTATTCGTTCAGCAGCTGTCTTGCTATGGAAGTAGGCTGGGCTTTTTTCGATTGTCATTTGGTCGCGAGATGTTAGAGGCATTCGTTCTCTGAAATAAAAATTTAGCAGCGATCTTTAAGTTAACTGATTTGTTCTAGATTATAAAGCGCACCGAAGGATGTAACAGAATTTGCTATCAGACTGCAAGATTAGAAGAAAGTACGATTGACTATAAGATATGGGCTTGGGTTGCCATCCGTTTCCCTCGCAAGCTATCTCACTTTCTCAATCCTTGGTGTCATCATTATATGAGTGCAATATAGCCCTGATGTTCAAAAATGAGCTTTTCTCTCCGCTTGTTCTCTCCACCCAAAGAAGAAGCAAAGCTATACATGGTGATCACCTCGTGTTTATGTACATGTAGTAAACCCTAAGAAGAAAGACTCCAACACACTTGGCCGGCCATATGTGCGTTGGTTGATACCAGCGCCACACACCATAGCGCGTCCTTTTACCCGTCACGCCGATGCCGCTATCTTCTGGCCAGTGACGTAAGTTTGTCACGAGGTCGCGACAGAGCAGACATCACCGCAATGACTGTTTTTGTTGAACCGGCATCAGTTTGGTGTCGGTTACTTTACACGAGCTAAAAAAGTGAGTTCCCACCAAGGTGGCCTTCCATTTACTCTATTTCGGAAGCACATTGACAGCCGTTTACAATTTCTTCCATTTGTGTCATGTAATCCATTTCTCAAATTTGCTTCCCGCCACTTACTTTCCTATAAAGCTAGATCAAAGGAGGCGATATATGAGCTTCTGCTTTATTAACGCCTTGGCGCGTCATAAAAAAGTAGATGTAAGGAGAAGTCGGCAGAAGTGCTGTCAGTGGTTGTTGTGCCTTGTGCGCAGGTGGTGCACGAAACAATCTGTCGGCTGACAACTGTTACGAACTATGACAAGGGTGTTCTTGGAAAAGGAGAACTAGGAAGGGGTGTGTGGAGGTGACAACGATATGGTTGATGGTAGTGATGGTGTGGACAGTATGAATCGAGTGGGTGGTGTGGATGTTGTAGATGGTGTGGATGCTGTGGATGGTGTGGATGGTGTGAATGATGTGGATGGTATGGATGTTGTGGATGGTGTAGATGGTATGGAGGGTATGGATGATGTGGGTGGTGTGGATGGTGTGGATGGTGTGGATGATGCGGATGGTGTTGAAGGTGATGATGATGGTTTCAATGGTGTGGCTGAGACAGTGGATTTAGTAATCCTTTAATCAAGAAATTGTATAGCCAGCTCGTGTCATTCCCCTCTTTGGTCCCATGTTCTTCCACTCCATATCCTAGCGCAACTTTGACGACTCCGCTGACCTAATAAGCACAACAGACGTTACAGGCTCCTTTAGCTAACATCATGGTCACGAAGGAACAAATCTAGAAACAGAGGTGTGCTTATATGAACTCAATCCTATCCTGGAAATGTATTGTAGGGGCATCAAAATAGTCCATCATTTATCTAGAGAATCACTACGCAGACTTCAAAGGTGTAGGAGCTGTACTATTTTGTTCGCGGCTTGCAATTAATATTACTAAGGAGGGAAGTAATTGAAAAATTTGTCATCTTTTGTCTGAAAACAGGCCCTTGAAAAATCTACTAAAAAAGCTCAAAAAAAATCGAAACCAACTCCTTCTATGTATCCTTTCCCTCATTTTGAAAACATCCTCATATCCCAAGAAGGTCTGACCTCTAGCGTGTTTACAGAGAAGCGCAGAAGTTATGCATGAATGTTTACCGACTACTGGTAATCTAGTCCCCCGCTGATATGTTTTCCTTTTAATCAAAGCCTCAAGCCGCTCGGCTAATAATCTTTTGAGTAAACATATCGTAATACTACTAGCACAAGAACAAAATAAGGTGCGGGTTAAACAAGCCTATAGGGCTAGGATGTAATGGGAAAAGAAAATTGGAAAGAGCAGACAAATAATACCTGCATTTGCAGGAAAACTCTCTGATTTGGAAATTAACTAGTTACAGATCTGAGACTTGTTAAATTGAGAAATACAAAAAGTTTTCCCGGAGCAGAATAGATATAATAAATTCTACAAATTGAGTGACTACGACTACACTTCCGTAGCTCATCCAAATTCATTTGCGCACAAGGTCAAAGCCACAAATCCTCAGAGACCTTAATGAATAGCGATTAGGATCTTCATCATCATAACCCGTCGTGCATCACCCCCACCCTCTACTTCCCTCTTTCTTCGCCCGAGATGTCCCGTTTGAGAGACATTTACGAGGGTTGAGGACATTACAGTGCGCGAGCATACACTGAATACTCAGTCGTAAAACCATAACTAATTCATCCCTCGGGACTGCACTCTTACGAGAAAGAGAATTCTCCGTATGGTGGCAAATCTGGGTCGTAACTGAGTATCAATTAAGCGCACAGTACATATCTTAGATGTTGACCCCTCCACCAAATGTTAATTTCCACCAATTTGCATCAAAATGGCTGTTCGCACTACGCACAACTCATTCGTCAAAATCACTTATCCTATCGTTGTGCACGAGCTTTCCAAAAGACTGACGGACTTTACAGTCTCTGAGCCAAATGTGCTGACAAATTGCTCTGTACACTCACATCAGACACGTCTATGGCGGAGAGGCTAAGCTAAGCAGAAGTCAGCATTGACCGTGTGGCGACTGACGCCATTCAACTGTTCGGAAGTTCCCGACCCCAGAAAAATTGGCTTTTTGCCATGTTGTTTTTGGGAACAACATGACCTCAATGTTTTTGTGTTTGCTTTTCCCATGTTTGCGCAGATAGCATCACCTGCCCCCAGATTCGGAATGCTGAGCTGCACCGCACCTGCGACTCACCCACGGTTCGCTGGAAACACGATCCCGGGATGTTACAGGACTGTTTAGGTTAGGGTAGACAAAACCGTCTCCATGATTGCTGGTCTAGCTAGGTATGCAAATAGGAATGATTTAAAATATCCCCCTCCCCTACTCTGCATCCTGCTATAACCTTGGCGTCGTTATGTCTACCCTGCCAGGATCTCAAGTGCACTTCTACACCTGCCACTCTACAGAAGTCAATCAATCGCGAAAAAATTTCCACGATGTACGATGGAAGCATAGAAAAACTACAAAATTGCTGAATAATCTGTGACAGATATGAGCTAGAAGTCCTTGGGAGTTGATTATGGATTGATTTCGTACAGTGAAGGGTTACGCATGGATTAAGCAAATGATCGGCTCATTCTAAGCTTTGACAACTTGTTGTTTTCAAGCATCAGACGACTTGTATTTATTAATTGCTTTCTCTTGCCAAATAAACGACTCTTGACCTTAGGCTATTTGGGTCGGACTATGAGTTGCACCGCTAAATCAAATGAGAGATCTCAAGAGCCATTTCTGCGAGTTTGGTCAAACCCATGAAGATCTCAAAATACCCGAATTAGGGATGAATAAACATGTCAAATAATTGAATTAATAACAGGGTTAGCTCAAAAACCAGTAAAACTGAAGAAGACTCAAACTAAAGTAAAACTAAACTAGTAACTCCAAGTAAATCTGAAGGAGACTGCAACTCAAGAGACCCACGCAAAGATTTAAGTACAACAATAGAATAAAACCACTAGATTAAGTACAACAATAAAATAAGAACATTCGATGGAGATGAATCTACAGTAATCCTCAGAGCAGCCCCTCCCAAATACGGTACTAGTGGCTATTGGGTCACTAATGCTATCAGTTTGATAAGCATCTTGTAGCCAGCGGACAATTGTGGTGGTTAATACTTTGGGGACATGACAGGTTGTCAAATATTGTATGACTCTTGCGGCTATTTGAATAATTTAACAGATAATGATGGTGAGAAAAATTGGAAACAACCTATGCGATGTGTAAAAAACAATTCTTACCTGTACCAATCCAATCCCTTGTGATAATTCTTGTCGAAGAAATGCACTTCTGGACCAGGGGCTTGAATATGAGGATTCAATCGTAAGAATTCTAGCAGAGCTCTAGTGCCAGCCTTCTTCACTCCGACTATTATAGCTGTCGGAAACTTCTTCTGTGGTAAATCGAGGGGAGCGCTACGGCATAATGTCAATGGAAGTAATTGCAGTAATAATCGCGGCAACATTGTCACAAAATATTCTGCAAGACTTGGAATTAGAATAAGACTTGTGAGTACAAATGACGAAAGAAAGCGAAGTGAAAGTGGGCGGGGCTTGATAATGAGTATTGCCACACTAGCGCTCATAAATGGCAAGCGAAGTATAAAAGATAGCAAAAAAAATGAAAAATAAAGGAAAGTTTGCTAGATAATCAGTTGGAGGAGCTGGAAGGGCGAAATTCTTTTTTTGCTCAAATCAAAAGAAAATAAGATTACACATTTGAGAAAAGTTCTTGGCAAGTTCCTTGAAAATCGAGAGCGAAAGGAATGACTGCGAAAAACAAGAAAAAAGGAACGTCTGAAAAACATAATAGCAGTACGATAACAAAGTGAGGATAATATAATATACTTACATAAGAAGCCTATATATGGGATAACCGTGCCCGTTTTTAGGCATCGATTGAAATATTGTGTTATTTCTGTACAAAGCATCTGCATACAAACAACGAATTAATAATTTGTTTAACATTAGAGAAGAAGCTAACTCTCTAACCAGAAATCTGGGATTGGGAGTTTATTTAATTGGAGTGTTACTTGGAGTTCAATTAGATGCAGATGCAGTCTTCAAAGGAACGAGAGCTACTATCGTGGGCGTGGCATTACCGAAAGTGGGCGGTTCGCATCGCTCCTGCTAAATAATCCCTCCCAATCGTCTTCATCTCAATTAACACTCTATTAAAGCTGTCAAATACACTTTGCTACAAGTAATTTTTAGCCGTTTTTTTTGTTTTTATGAAAAAAAAACTCTACGAAGAATTTGGCAATGCCCGAGGCGACGCGCAGCTTTTCCCTTGGGGTTACGAAAGCATGCGGAATTTGAAACCGCTGAAAAACTAGTGCTTATGCATTTCCGAAGCTGCGGCTAAATATCCATGTGTTGCAAAAAAAAACACCTGCACCTTGGAAGGCATGAATTGGTGTAAATTCACGTCGAAAATTTGATTAGGATGCACATAGATGGCTATTTGACAGCGCAGAATGGATAGAGCTGTTACAAAGGGCAGAATCGTATCTAAAAGTTTTTTTTGCAGTTGACCAGTTGACAAATAGCAGATGTGATGAGAGAAAATTATCCGTAAAGTTGCGTGAAGCACGAGATCACACCATCAAGTATTTATCGACTAACGGCCATAGGGCTTCATAGCGAGCAATTAGCAGCTACGGTCAGCCAAGAAGGTGCTTATCAGAGGTAAGAGATGGGCAGAAAAGCTCATTAATTCAGCGTATCCATCGCGATACTCATTACACGAAAATGCTTGAGCAGCTAAAAAATATTCGAGATAATTGATAGCGCGAAGTCCAAACTCAACCAATACAACACTACGTAACGCTAGGTTGCTTCGACTATACAAGAACCAAGGTAAATTCAGAATGGAAATAATATTATAGTATTCTATAGAAGGGATACCACCTTTACTCTGTCGAAAATCGTATGGTTCCTATATCGTCTGTCAGTTCTTAGGTTCTATGGATTTACCCATCCACTACAGGTGGAAAAGAAAGGTTAAGTGTTTTAAAGTAGGAATGAGTACTTTTGAAAAGTTGCTAAACACTTTGCTCGGTGGAAAAGTAGTTGTGTAGGTGAAACAACTTCATTCTTGAAAAAGAAATCACCAAGCAGGATTCATGATGGGCTGAAGCTGAATAATAAAACGTGCTGAATAAATTATGACTACAACAAAACTAGTTGAAAAAACAGCACACTGTGAGCAAATAAGGAAGGCAGTTTGGCTCAGTATTCTGATGTAGACACAATCACAGCGAATTCGGGTACCAGCAATGATCTAATCGCATCACGCAGTTCAAAAGCACGCACAACCAAGCAAAAGCCATCTACTTTTTTTATCACGCACAACCTGCTTTTAAGCATCTGTCGTTAGCCTAATCCTAGCCACTAAAAGTTTTTAGTTCCATAATGTGCTAAAGTTGAGAGGGAAAGTCGAAAGGGCTGGTAGGGCAGGGGCCAAACCCGCACTGAGAAGCATGCAAGCTGCTCGATGCAATTTCCATTAAGTAGTAGCCTGAAGACAGAACGCATCAATTTCAATTACATCTTCCGGCAGCAGCGGCATCGAAGAACGGCCGGTTTGGCGCACAATGAGATGGAAATGTCCATAGCGACGAAGGTGCCAATCCGTCCCCGCATTAGCTTTCTTTGCCCTTCTCTCTTCTGCTGCTCTTACTCATTCCTTTCGACACACATGTTCACAACTGTCCAATATGGCACATTTTTTCTGAATCTAATTGTCTTCACATTCGAGTATGCACTTGAGAAACATCCGCTCGCGCAACAAGTGCACAGCTGGGGTTAAGTAACGTAAAGCATAGGTACGTTTTTCCAAAATTCTAATGGATAGATTGATGGGATCAATGAACGCATGAGATGTGAGAAGAACAGCACATTTGTAAATTGTGGATAAGTAAACATTGCAGATCAAATTTAATATACGAGATGCTCTTAAAAAAAATTTGCTTGTGATGCGCCTGGTTTAGGTGTTCTCCTTCCAGCTAATTTGTAAATGAAGGAAATCGTTTGCGCTAATTGACTCGCATAATCCTGCTTACGGGATCAGAGTGAGGCAGATGGGGAGCCTCTGAGGGATATTGACCTGTATCTGGCGAGGTTGATTGAACTCAAGAAGGCATGTGATACGATTCAACCACTTGGTTATGATTTGAGGAGGTCGACGAAGAAAGAAATTATCAAGTGAGGCTTCCCGAGCAGCACATGCTTGAATCGTTTCACAACCAGTTTGATATCGCAAACTAGATTAACCAATTTGTACAAACCCCTCCTCATCCTACGCCCACATCACTGCAAATTCTCCACAATACCGCCACTAATAGAGAAGTCCTCTATTAGAAGATCTACTCGACTTTGAGGGCGAGAGTGATCGTAAACCCACGCTATTGCGTCTACTCATGATCCTACCGTTCAAGGACTTGATTTGTCCACACTTTTATTTCTGAAGGCCTCTAATTAAGCTTTATAGCATAAGGCATTTTGCTACCGCCACTTGGTGACGCCTGACTTACCAGATAGGCAATCAGTGCGGCATGACTGACCGACCGTAACCCCACTATCTACGGTGACCAAGTGCTCGTGTTTCCAAGTGCAATTACAGCTACTAGATTCTTCATTTCCAAAACTCGCAACCGTTTTATTGGTAATTCTCTTACTCGTTCAAGAAACACTGGCACTTATTTTATGCATAGTAGAATAACAAATTCTCTAGAGATAAAACGAATATGATAGGTTACCAATGTGTGACGCAAACATGTCGGGCACCATCCTAAGATCGTATCCCAGCTTATCGTCGGCAAAGGATGTACCAAGGCGCCGAGCTGCCCTCGGATCAGTTTCTTCCCGTTGACATCATAATTATGGGGAGTACCGACACGAGGCCATATGTCAGTCGTGAATCCTCTGTGAGCTTGAGACCCGGGCTGACGTTGCTCATAAATCATAGGACAATGTTATGAGCAGATTACAGTGATTCATACTTCAAAAATGAAAAAGTGAAGCGTGGACAAGTGCAACAGTCATTGCTATGTTATTTTAGTGGGTGTAGAACCTTTGCGGATAGTTCTGGGAAAGAGTAAATTGTATAGTTGAAGGCGATAATGTCTGTTTTTCAGAAAATCATGAGGTGTATTGAAAATTTAGCTAAATATGCCCTGAGTTTTTGTTCGATTCTATGAAAAGCTGCATGTATTTTAGAGCAATGGCAGATAATGCGTGAATGCTTCGTATATATGTGAAACACAAAGCAATTTCTAGAATGACAGGGAAAAACTCAACCTTCACAGCCTCCATCTATTTGTGAAATTGCACTTTTTCCTGCGCTGTCATCCCTACTTATTTATAAATCCTGTGCAACAATATTTGAGCTAGCGCAGATAGAAAATCAATTCTAGTTTTCTGTCTGTTATCTTTACTCCGAAAAACCTCAGAATCTTGAAGTCTCAAAAAGTTGTCCTTGTAACTTATAAAGCAGAGAGAGGGAACTAAATTTTTATGAAGAAAGATACTGGACGTCAGAGGGAGAACGAAGCAGGACATAAGATGTTTTCCAAGACTAAAACCTCCTCCTCTAAAAACCCAAGTTCTTGCGCCAGAAAACCTCATTTCAATATTCCCAAGAGAACAAGTTTCACTCAACGTTTAGTTGACAAGCACTAAAGCATAGCAAGAAGTGATTGATGCTGCACAGCGAAGGCTAAATAAAACGAGAAATTTGCTTTTTTTGGTCAACCTAAAGAATTTTTCTGAAATGGGATAAGTTAACTTCCGAGTAAATGATGAAATTGACAAATCTTGGAAGTAAGCATATCCAAGTTGAAACAAAGCCCGCATGAAATTCGTGACAGTTGTCCTTTCAGTCAGCTAAACCCGTTCCATTACAACGACACGTCTTTTTTATACGCCAATGTCACCGCTTCCGTCACTTTCTCGCCTTTCCAACCGCAGCTGTGCCCAAAAAAAGAGAGGCAAGGAAATGAATTCTAACAGCGGTTTGAAAGCAGCCAATGTTCTCATATTAGACTTCAGCATGCTGCTTTAAATACTGAAGACAGCTGTTAAAAGACAAGCGACAGGCTTCTAATGGAGCGCCCCAGAATTAAGTGTTTTGTAGGTCTATTGTCCTCATTTCCATATTGTTTCGTGGGTGATTGATTGAAGGGTTCGAGTTGATTGGAGATGAATAGGTGAGGTAGGTGTGAACAGGTGCTGGGGTCATTTCCGGGCAGCGAGGTGCTTCTGGAGTGGACAGGGTTTTGCTGAGGAAAAATGGCAGGAAAATGAGTCGCAAATGCTGCAGAGCATAGAAATTTCAATATATAGGAATGTCGATTTGGAAACCTGTCAACTGCAAAATGAAAGTTTAGGCATCAGAGGACGTTCGAGCATCCAGCTGAGTGGAAGAACAACAAGTGAATAGCGATAACTCACCCTAAAATGTCGT